CATTAGCACCTCTAGTAATATATTTACTGAGAAAAATGGTGACGTGTTCATAATTTATTTTACCTGCTGTATCAACATAAATTTAAAAAATTTAATTAAAAAACAATACTGTTGCTGCTGCAAGAGTAAAGGAGTTAATGAGGCAGATAATTGCTGATTAAGTCAATGGTTATGATTTTACATGTTTATAAACTTTTATTCTTTATTTTTAATCTTTATTCAAGTGAATAAAAGTGAGTGTGTGTGTGTTATGTGTACTAAACAGACATGGCAGCAAATAAAGATTAAATACGAAAACTGTAAAATCAGGTAAGGTCAGGTATAAGCTCTTATGTTCAACCTTTAACAAATAATTTACATATTTCACTGCTTCAGCACAAAATTATTGTGTCCCACCTGAAAAATAATGTGTATTACTCCATCTTCTCTCTGCCAAATATTAGTTTATTTTACTTTTCATTGTGAATCAGAAATTTTTATAAGTTTATTTCTTTTAAAAAATTGAATAAATTCTATAAATAATAAAATAAAAATATATACTTCTGTAAGAATTTAAACCTTTGGTCACAATTTCATAAGAGAGCAGAAATGTAAATGAAATTTGATCATTTTTCTTTCCCTAAATCTTCCTGTGAAACATCTGTAAGCTGTACTTGAAGAAAAAGATTGAAACCTGAGCAATTAAAAACATGTAAAAATACTGAAACAGATTCATCCAGACGTCTAATCGTGGTTTTATCACTCTCTCCTGACATAAATTTCTTCAGAGTATTAAGGCTCCAACATCTACAGGATCATTTAGAAAATGACACTTCCTGTCTGACTCTGTCCTCATGCAGTTCTCAGCTAAAAAGTGAGACAAACTCAGGACTTGTTCAAGTAATCCTGCTACAGAGCAGGGTTGGTTCATGGGGTAAGTTGCGGGGGTAAGTTAACTCAGGGTAACTGATATCTGGCTTTCTGAAACCGAAAACCCAGGATATGCACATAGTTACCCCAGAACTTACTCAGGGTTTTCACTTATCCTGCTTTCTGAAACTGGGCTCTGGACACTAGCTGGCTTTCAGCAAGATGAACATGGGCGCAAACAGTTTAGTCTTGAGCATACAAGTCTTATAGCAAATGTTGAATACACAAATATTTGTTTGGACCGAGAATGAGGCTGGTTTATTCCTACACGGTCGAAAGGGCGAGCAGCAAAAACAGCACTCTGCTAGTCGCCATTGTTACTGTTGTACATCTATTCGCTCAAACATAGACTGCAGCATCTGAAGTGCGATTTCACACCTCTGCAGAGGGTTTCCCACAAGCCTCCACTCTGAGACCTGGATTGTAAGAGATTTAGTTTCATAGAAAACAAGAACTGTTGTTGCGTACATGAAATGTCAAACTGCAGCAGACACGCTACAGCTTCACTTAAATATTACATTATGTAAACAGAGCCTTAGCTTTATAACAGAGCTTCTCATATAGCTCAAAGACCTTCAACTGCAGCATACTCAGAAAAAAAGTACTCAATTGTACCTTAAACAGTGCAATATATACATACGAGTAAAGCTATTTTTGACTGTAAAAGTCCAGTTTGTTTATTATTTATTGGGATTTGCCATGTCCTGGATGACTGAGAATCTAAATCAGCAGTTTTTAAATAATSTCACTCATGCTGGAGAGGGTCAGTTTGTCCTCACAACATGCTCATAGTTTTCTCCTTATTGCAGTTTTATCACAGTTCCTGTTGTCACACTGCGGTTTTTAACAGTACATGTGTTAAGGAGCCTCACCAGTGCAGTGTGTCTGTGTGTGTGAGGTGCACAAGCTTCTTGTGCTGAGCGCTGCCACAGCATGCTGCCTAAAACGCAGCAGCCCTGCTTCTGGTAATTGATGTGACCTCACAACTTGACCAGAGATGATAATTATGCTCACACACATTTTAAAACACACTCCATTCACAGGGGGATTTTGCAGCACTGGAATACAATTACAGTCTATAAACAGGCGGCAACAAAAGAAGGATTAGTGTTGGAAACGGTGACCACCAGTTGGTCTACATGGTCATTACTGTCAAATCTGACAACCCCAAGGTTGTAAATCCTTCCCTCCCTCTTTACCACATTACATCAAGGGCTTAGAAAGATGTCCCTCATGTTTCTCATACATAATAAGACTTAGTTCTGTGCAAAACGTATGAACCGTTATTATTTTACCTGTTGCAGGTAGTTTAAACCTTAGGTTGCAACAACTAATCAAAGCAAAGCAGAACTCTGCCAACTGAAAACAACTTTAATCCAAATAAAATCCTATTAGTTGATGTGAATGATATTTTGTAAACCTTTTATATTGTGGTTAATTTGACATTACATGGTTATTTACTATGATTAGCAGAAACTAGCTGTTTAACTTCTGGTGCTGCCTGAGGCACTTCCTGTAGGAGGATTTAAATGTTCTTGCAGGAGTCGTATAAAGACGTTTTTCTTAAGATATTTAGGAACAATGCAACATATAATCATCAAGTTTTGGATTTGAAACATACATTTTAGATCTCATTAACATTACGCTAAATCATTTGAAAATAGTTTAAGACAGAAATATTTTAGACACTTTTTTTGTTTGCAAAAGATTCTAAATATTTCATCTTGTATTTTAAAAAATTTAGGAACTCCAAATACTGTTTGGTATCGCAGACTCTCATCTTTCCTTTCTTCTTTTCGTTTCTCTCATCTCCTTTGCTTCTACTTCCAGTCAAAGAGGCCAGGAATCTGATTCCCATGGACCCCAATGGTCTGTCAGACCCCTACGTGAAGCTCAAACTGATCCCAGATCCCCGCAGCGAAAGCAAGCAGAAGACCAAGACCATAAAGTGCTGCCTGAACCCCGTCTGGAACGAGACTTTTAAATTGTAAGGCTGGGAACTGGTTGACTTTTTCTTTCATTTATTAATGTCTCTTTTTGCGTTTCCCCTTTTTGTGTTTTTTCTGTTATCTTTCCCGCTCTGACTCRGTGCGGCGGCTGCAGCCCGCCACATTATGCTCGTCTTTCCAAGCGTATTTAACCGCCAGTGCTCAGACAAAAACATCTGGCTTCTTGTGTTTGTAAATCCTCACTTGTGGGCCTGTTTTGATGCAGTTGTATTCTTAATAAGCCTCATCAACTCCAGGCATCTTGGTGCAGATGTTCTAGCTGTGGGGGACGTTTATTTGCATCCAAACAATCAAAAAAAAAGAGATATTAGGAAGAGTYAATAAACTGGTTTGTGCGTGTTTCATGGAAGACACATACAAGATGTTTTTATTTCTTGTATTTAAGGAATGAGCTATACGTGAAAATTTGTTCACATGTTGCAGAATAAGAACAATGAAGAAAAAAAAATCCCTTGTCTTCTCCAGCCACCTGAAGGAGTACGATAAGGACCGCCGTCTGTCTGTGGAGGTGTGGGACTGGGACCTGACCAGCCGCAACGACTTCATGGGATCACTGTCCTTCGGCATCTCAGAGCTCCAGAAACAAGGAGTGGACGGATGGTAAGCTAAAAGGCCTGGGCGGGAGAATAACATGGAGAGATGTGAGGCAAAAAAAAAAAAAAAAATTTAATTAATAAATAAAATGCCACCAAGAAGCAGCAGGAAGGAAAGCAGAAGGTGACCTTGTTCATTACTGTATCACAGGAGAAAACCCCTCAGATGGAACTTCACTTTTCATTCTGTGCCAGAACAACTCTACCCCAATCTCTTTATCTCTGCTTCTTTATCGCTCCCACCCCTCCCGCCTCCACCGTCTTTATCTCTCCGCATCTCCCTCACTTTCTGCTGACACTGCTCTGTCAGGGGTTTTAATGAGATGCCAGCTTTTTGAGGTGGAGGCAGAGAGACGTCTTTTATACACCTGATATTCAGATCCAGCCTGTGAAAAGGCAGGTTCTTCCCTCTAATCCACGCTTGTGTTGCTTCGAAACTTCACACTCGCTGGCAATACTTGGCAGAGACAGCAGCATGGAGTGAAGGCGGCATAAACACTTTGATTCGCAAGCTTATACTCTTCTTTTTATGCAATACGTTTTCCTTATGGGCAACAGAATTTCAGAGCTTGCAACTGGTTTTTTTAGTTTTCCACTGGCCTATAGTTTTCTTTTTCTTGTCTAATTCTGTTCATCTGATAGAGCATTATTTGCTGTACGACAATGAGACTGTGCTATGTGCTGTATTACACTGGGCTAGGACTGTTGAAGGCTGGTTGGCAACTCAAAATTATGAGGTTTAGCTCTATTTTTGTGTGCACAACTTGAGCAGATTATTTTGTCTCCAGCTTCCACCCAGAACATCCCTGCTTTGTCAGTTTTATCTCACGTTAGCATTGGTAGCTATCATCTAATTCACAGAGGAAACAGACTTTCAAACAGAGATAACTGTGTCCTGTATGCAGTGRTGGTTCTAAAGGGGTGGCACTGAGTGGCAGGTGCCATTTGGTGGAAAAAAAGGATCTAGCCACCTCAGTTTCCCCTTTATTTGTAGAGTAGCTAGTTTATATATTTTTGTTTATTTTGTACAATATAGCAAGTCAAGGACGTCTCCACAGAGCTCACTGATTTAAGGCAGGTTTATCCTTCAAGTTGCACATCTTGCTTACGCTGTGGAGTGACAAAAAAATTGCGTAACTTCCTGTCAGAACTCTGTCCTCTTCAGGAAATCCCGTCAAATAGAGGGAGTGAGTGCGCAGCAACATTTGAGAAGTCATATCTACATTTGAGCGAGGGAGCAGCAAGATTTGCACATGCACAAATTTGACTTTTGAGACTTTCGCGTGTGCATTGTTGGTCAGAACTTTCTGATATTCATGTGCGTTGCTGTGGTGCAGCACCCTGAGCAGCGCATCCTTCTGCATGTCGTTTTGCTGAGAATGATTCTTTCCGAGAAGGTGTTTGTTAAATTAGCGAGATGCAGAGCTTTGATGAGCAGCTGGTCTGATCTTATTGAGCATGTGAGCAGGCAACCGACGTTCATGCCTTTTTTTCCATCGTCGACGTTAACAAGAAAAAGAAAGGTTTTCCTTCTCCGACTGGTCACCCAACACAACACTGATACATCGTTGAGGTACAAAAATATATATCTAACGTCACCGTTGTTTACATGTTTAGCTCTGCACTGTGCTACATTGGATGGGCAGATGGAGAAGTCATGATCATATATCCCCCGCCACGTCTTTAGACCGTCTATACTTGGTCAGAAAAGGACGTCCAAAAGAACTGATCTGCTGTCTCATGTTGAAATAATAAACCAGGCTTTAGAATTCACACCCACCCCTTTTAAAATTTCAAAATGGTTTTACCTGCCAACCAGTTGTGGAAATTTTACCAGCAAAGATGGTTTCAAAAGTGGCAGCTAGAAAGCTTTTGGTGCTTTACGCCCTGGAGCATCAAGTGACAGATAAAGTGGATCCAATCCATACAAAATRAAATGTGTCAGAAATTTGTGTATATACTGTGTATTTAGCACAGAAAGTGAGGAAATTTGTGTTTGGTAGATTATTTCTTTGTTGTAACAGTACTTCTTGGTGTTACATCAGCACCTGATTGGCAGCACCTGGGGTACCAGAAGCTTTTGAGCTTATTTTGCAAAATCAACCCACATACTCAGCTCCACTGCTCATCCCACAAATGCATGTTCCTTACAAAAGTGGCACTGTTTAAAAGGGAAATTAACAGGCTTTCCAGTGGTGTAAGATTTACTGTCATCTACCAAACACAATTTTCTGTACTCTTTGTGCTAAGCTTATGTATTAAGTGTCCACCTGCTCAGCTGGAACTTCATGCCACACCTTTGTCGCCTAATAAAAAACGTATTTGCCACTACCTGTGTGATCTAAAACTAATTATGCAATCAAGTTTGCATTGCCAGTAATGGACATTTAGCATTTACTCACATAAGAGAAATGAATTCAAGTGTCCACTTGACATGGTCCAAAATAACTGGTGTTTTATGAACCATTTTAAAGACAAGTCTATGTGTTGTAAGCTGAAAGCTGATTTTGTGCACAAGTCTAATCCAATTCATGCGCACCACTCTGTTTGTAAACTTGTGTTTAATCATTTGTGCGCACGGAAACCTTTTTTAAAACGTGAAAAAATTGTTACACTTCTGAGGCTAAAGGTTAACATTCCATTTATTTAATGTTTGAGTTTGCAAAGCTGTATTATATGTTCTCAGACTGCTTGATATGTGTGGGTTACAGTCTGCCCTTGCAATTACCCATACACATTTACATATCAAGTAACACTCATTAGTAACTCCTATGAGACTTTTGTTTCTTTTCATATATCTGATTTCAAAGCTTAATTTTTATGGACAAACTCAGCAGTTTTATTCAACTCAAAACGGTGTGTGGTGTCAGCTATAATCTCAGGAAAACTTGATCTTATTTCATGGTTGCTAAAGGGGAAACTGTCTAAGAATACTTTGGGGGAAAGCAAAGGTGCTTAAATCTGTGTCATTAAATCCATTAATGCCCTGCAAAAAGCACTCTGGTCCAAATGAGCTTGTGGGGCCGTGAGGCATGCGCTTTAGTCAGGAGTGGCATCAGCTGTTATGGATCAAATGTGCACCGTTCTGAAAAAAAAAAAAAAAAAAAACGCAACCATGAAAGGGGAGTAAATTATTGAATAACCAACTGATTTTTCTTCAGCGCTTCAAGCTGGAGCACAAAACGCCACCAGCTTGGAGCGTTGCTTCAGGGGAGCAGTTAAGCATCCTAATTGTATGAAGTCATTAAAAGTGATTTGACTGTAAATATCCGTTGATTTTAGGTTTAAGCTGCTTTCCCAGGAAGAAGGCGAGTACTTCAATGTTCCAGTGGCTCCAGAGGGGGAGGAGGGCAACGAGGAGCTCCGTCAGAAATTTGAGGTGTGTGTGTGTGTGTGTCTGTGTGTTTGAATGTGTGTGAGCAGTCAGCTTTGGGCACTCTGTGTGTTTGAGTGAGAGCCACTCTGGGAGAGCTGTTAGCAGTTGGCAGGCACACTTATAGTACCATCCGGTCTGGCACACTGCAGGTCCAGACGTATTTGTGTGTGCGTGTGTGTGTGTCTGTGTGTGTGTGTGTGGGCTGACCAGTAGGCCCATTCATTAACACATTTGGCAGTGATGAGGACAACCCCTCTCTGTGTTTTCCTTTTTTTTTCCCCCTCCCTCTTCTTCAGTCATGCCGACACCAAGCCACAAACATGAGAGATTTGTTTAAAAAAACTGTGAAGTTCTTGTGTGTAACATGAAAGCTGGATTCATGCACAGACACACAATCTATTAATCATTAGTTGGACGAGTTTAATGTAAAATCTGGGATTTCTGTCWYGTTTTCTTATCTCAAAACATGAATTATTTCTATCCAAAAACACAAACAAGCCAATTCTTCTTCCAGAAGGGCCTGACTCAACATGCATTATTGTGGGTCTATAAGTATGTAAYACATTTATTAGGGTCAGGATTCTTGTTTTATGCAAAGGGTCAGACCTTGTTTACACTAACAGATATGTTGCAAAACAAACCTTTATGGGTTTACAACTTTTATCAAGTAGGGGTCTCTGCAGTCTCGAAGTGGGAGTTTCTTGGGTGTWAACTGTGGTTGGTCGATTTGACCATTTTGGGCGGGGTTTGACGAAGCCGTAACAGTTCGGTTGGATGAACCCTGGTCAGCTGGGGGGAACTGTAACGATTCACATCACTAATTTTGAATATGAAGATCAATATTAGTTATAACTCGAGACAAGAAGGTACTAGTCACATCAARTTGACAAGTCAATAAATTRTATTTACATGCTCACAATAGTTTTATTAAATACCATTATACAGCACATCTTTTAACTTCCCCCACAAGTCAGTTCGATTAATAACAGCTTATTCAAACTAGACCCATATCCAAGAACATTCCCGTGACTGCAGAGACCCCCTTCTCCCTCTTATCCACATGMAGTGTTTTCAGTTGGAAAATGTGAGATTTTAAAAATTGCTTTACAAGCAGTAAGGCTGACCTCTTTATCCAGTATTGTTTTCATAAATGGTACATGCATAGTCAATAAAACTGTCCATAGCCAATAGTAAATTCATCAGTGTTAGCAGCCTCTTTTAACAATTACAAGTATAATCGCATCCTATCAGTAAGAATGTTCCAATTCTCACCAACCCTGACCTCAAAACCCAACATGGTTTCCATATGAAAAACTGCAATAGCTGTAGTAAAAAAGACTCTTTATACATGTGTCAGCTTCTGTTATGAAACGTGTTGCTACTGTGTGTGAAGATCTACAACGCAGAGGGTTTGTAATGCTCATAGCATTTAGCCCACATGGTCACCGAGCACAACAATCATAACTGGTTCTTAAACTTAGAACCAGACTATGGTTAAGTTGGCAAATCTGAGTTCGGCCTTTTAAAGTAAGCGGAACACAACATAGTCTGTTTATCGCCATGTGCTTTTGTACATATGTACAAGGAATTTGCTTTAGGGTCTCAGTGCTACACAAACTTTTAAAATTACATTCAAAAAAGAGCTTTGTGATGCTGCTTCCTGCTCTGGAAGCCTGCAAGCTGTGGTGAAGAGTCCAGCTCATACAGCCACGTCTCCAAGAGGCACCAAGCAAATGACCACCATGTGCTCAGAATCATCTTCTTCAGTGTTTTGGATTGTCGTTAATATGGATGCTGTTGCTGCATTTTTGTCATTTCTGCAGACGCTTTTATGTAAACAAATGACAAAATATTTGGTGTAGAGTCATAAGAGCTATGTCCTCCTTGTCTCTCGACCTTCCTTGTTCCCACGTGGCGTCCTTCATTCCTCAGACAGCTATTTTGTCCTTCAGAACTCTCTTGTGCTTTTTTTCCACATTTTATCTGCCATTTCTCCCCCACTTCTCCTCAAGGTCACAGTCCTCTGACGATCACTGAGACACTTTCTCAGAGGACCAGTTATCACAGACACACACATAAACACAAAACAGCACAAATGCATTCTGGGAATAAAAAAAACTTCAATAGATTCCACAYAAATGAAAAGACAGAAACAGAAATTTCACTTTGTTGCACGTCACCCCATTCAAAGTCACGTACCTTCATAAGGTCCGAAAACCTGTTTTGTGCACATATGAGCTAAAACATCAAGATTTTTATAGATTTTTGAAGACTGTATTAAAAAAAAACCAACAGAAAAAAGCTTAAAGGCAAAACAACTGGACTTTTATTCTGAAGTTGAAGATGTTTTGCTTCACATTCCAATTTCAGAATAAAAGTCTAGTTGTTTTGTCTTTACCTTTTGTCTGTTTCATCATGACCTGGATGACTGAGAATCTTCACCGGCAAAAAAACAACAACAAAACATAAACAAAATAACAAATGAGGCTAATTAACCAACACTACTTCTTTCACTGAGTAATAAAAGCATATGAACCTTTAGATCAGCACTTACTTTGAACAGTCAAATTAGACTCAGTTGTTATCAATAAATACAATAAATCTTTTAAAAACTTGAACCCCTAAGATAAAGCTTACAGTTCTAATGTGTCTAATTGCCCAAGCCTTTATAGAGTTTTCTCTTTCCCACTTTTCTGTTTCACATTTAACCTTCACCAGAACTTGTCAGGCTTTAACTCCTGGGGTTTTTTTTTTTCAAACACAAGATTTCCTATTAATCCTTTAGCTTTAGTCACCTAATAAATAATCAGACGTCATTGGTTTGTGATGTCACTGCGGTTTATTTTTTTAAATACATTTTTAAAAACAGCTCACAGCCTTGTTTAACTGCTGTAGAACCTGTGCGGCACTTTAGAGAGGATTTAGGTTTCACACTTCAGCTGATTTTATTTACCTAATCTAGGCTGTTCTTCGAGGGGGAAAAAGCAAAGGACCCAGAGCTAAAATAATCTGCGAGCTGCTCGAACAAAGCCTCCAGTCTTTCAGTTTCTGGTTTATGTTAGTTTAAATGCTTCTAAATGTCTCTTGAATGTTTGCCTACTGACACCTGAGACTTATACATATACTGTATTTATATATATTTTTTTCAGTTAATTTCTTGGACGTGTGATTTTGTGACAAATCTAATGATAGAATATAAATCAGATGGCTGCATCAGATATGTGCATGAAAAGAAGAACAAAACCTTACTGTAGAGAAGCTGAAATCTTCCTTTTGTTGGGAACTGACAGTAGAGAGGTACTGCAACTGAACAGGATAGAGAAAATGCACAAAGCCTCTGCATGGATCTGCAATTAAAGATAAGATCAGAAAAGATAAGATGTACTCGTCCTGTACTTCAGTTCTTAAGTGTGCAGTCATGTACGTAATAATTAARATTTATGGAAGGTGAGCATCCTTTAAAAAAAAGGAGGTAAAATGTAGAATAGGGTTTTTTTCCTACTAGAGGAAAAGTAAGAGACTAACAAAGGTAAAGTTGAGAGTAACTGAAAACATTAAAGTGCAKCAGAGAGTAGACTAAAATAGACGAGTTAAACAGGAAGTGGATATTTTACAGAATAATTGAGAGTCCAGCTGAAGAGGAGAAACAAAAGATGAAGGAAGTTACATAAAATGAGACAGAGTGCAAGGTTTCTGTGCAGAATTCCTTACAGCAGTTTTTTTCACCTTTTCCCAACAAAAAGTTTGGGTTTACATCTCTTTTCTTTTTTTTAAATCTGTTCCTTTGTGTAAATTTGTTGTTGTTTAATTCAGCTTTTTATATGGAGCCCATCCAGTGACATTGGATTAAAAAATAATTATTCATGGCCGCAAGTTTTTATCTTCCAGCCATGAGATAGTTAGCGTGTGGCCAAGAGATAATTCTTGCAGTCATTTCCATGCAGAGACGGTTGCTTGTTTACATGGACATACAGTATTTGAACTCCTTTCATTTATTTTATTATGGGAATGAATGRCATAGGCCTATTCCACTCACTTGCGGCTTGGCACGAAGTAATTCCTAGCATTAAAAGACTCAGGACATAATTGAAGTTGTCTTTGTCTAAAAAGTTTTAATTTATTTTTTTAAAGCTCAACAATCAAAACAGGCTCCTGTCTCACATTTTTTCTTTGCTGTGGTAACAGTCAGGTTTATGTTGCATTCAGGAACACATTAAAAAACCCTGTTTCCCAACACAAACCTAAAGCTTTCAGTGTGATCTCATTAATATTGTGAAAGATGAACCGTTTAGATTGAACATATACAATTATAATAGTAGTGTGGGATACCGTTGAACATTTAAAGACAAAACTAATACATATAATCTGACTCAATATCTGTATCGCTCACAAAGTAACACGGCTGCTCAAAATTATCTCCTGGTCACATGTTATCTCATGAACATGAGGTAAATAATGTGTAGCTCTGCATTAATTTTTTTTATCTAGTGTCATTAGATAAGCTCTGTACTTCTAGCTTTTTATAGCACAGCATATTTGTCTGTGTTGTCAGTAAGCTGAAATTGTCCTTTACTGTTCATTTTCCCAATGTGATCTATTTTTTACAGGACTTTGTCCAGACCAGTTGGYCACTTAAGCCAGTGGTTTCCAACCTTTTTAGACTTGTGTACCCCCTGAGCCATTTTGTCWTACCACTAATACCCCCTYTGTCAAACATAATGATGATTCTCCAAAACTATAATTTACTACAACTGATTATTAAAYGAAAACTATTTATTGAACCCCTAGAACGTTGAATTCTCAGGCATTTTATTCTTTTAAATGCAAATTAAACAAAGATGATAACGTTGAAGGTGAATAAGTAATTAAATAAATAAACCAGGTAATGGCAGGTGAAGGAAGCAGCAGCGTCCAAAATATGTCAGAAACTTATTAAGTTAGCTAATTCTGTGAGATTCCACGTTTTTTACTGGATTCCATTTTGTGTCAATTCCATGATTCTGTCTGCATTTTCCACATTGCCAAAATCATAGGGCCCTACATATCCCAGTCCTATTTTTATTTATTTATTTACACACCTGGGAATTTTTTTCACGCACCCCCTGTAATATGCTTGCATACCCCTGGTTGGGAATCACTGACTTAAGCTACCCTGATCTCATTGGAAGGAAGGAAAAGGGCTAAATCGATACAGTTTGCTGATGTTGTGTACATAGAAAGAAGGAAAAAATCATGTTGTTGTTTTATAGTACAAAGCACAAAACTCGTAATTGTTGCACCCCATCATGCCTCAACAATGAAATCAATATCATCTAAATATATACAATATGTTTGCTCTTCAAATGCGACTCTGAAACCAAATTTTCACCATTTTTATCCTAAAGAGATGGGACAAAATTTCTCAAAGTTTTATTTCTTGGTATATTTGTCCAAAATGTCTTTACAGATGTAAATAAAAATCTAATCGCCATTTTCTTCCATCTAGAGGGCTAAAATTGCAGTTGGCAAGAACGCAGAGGGCAAGTCGGCAAATGCGGCATCCCGGTTCRACTCCAATGGCAACCAGGATCGCATGAGGTTGTCCGACTTCAACTTCTTGATGGTTCTGGGAAAGGGCAGCTTCGGCAAGGTGAGAACACCATATTTTTTGCGTACTTCTTTAATCTGCAAGTGATCCACTTGTCAGGACATTGTGGTTTAATAATTGATGATTAAACTCTGGTAACGCTTTCTTTTATGGTACCCTTATTACTATGTAATTACAAGGTAATAAAAATGTAATTAAATGTAATTACTACCTTATTACCATGTAATTATGTGGTAATTTTGGTACAAAAGAAGAACTACTGTTAGTTAAACTACTTTTATTGGGTAACTACAATAAAATTACTATTCAATAGTAACTCAACACTATATTTATAACCAAAAGAATGCAACTAAATTTTGGGGTTAGTGGTTAATTGCAATAAAATTGAACTTTAAAACTGTCCAAATTACCTACTACATATTTAGGTGTTACAAAGTGAATTGTAATACATTACCAGGTAAGTGCTGCATTACTGCAGACAATTAATTACATAGTAAAATTGTACCCTAATTACCATGTAATTACATGGTAATAAGGTAAGTAATTACATTTAATTACATGTTTATTGCCTTGTAATTACATGGTAATAAGGGGTACCGTAAAAGAAAGCGTTCTGCTGAACCCGATGCATTGTTCTGTGACATTCATACATTGTTCAACAGCATGACGTGGTGTAACAGTGCAGCTGCAGTAAGTACTTCGAGGGGTTTGACAAGAAAAAAATAAAGTTGAAYGAGACAGAAAACTGAGGCAGAAAGAACTGGGAAGGATTAGGGCACAGGTAGACTGAAATGGATGGAGGGAAAGGAGGCAAAGAGGAGGACATGACAAGTGGTGAAAGTGATGAAAGCAGAGGAGGACAGCGATGAGATCCATGGTGACAGGACTGACATGAATGAATTGCGGGTGAGGTAAAAACGTCAGAGTGAATGAAAAGCAGCCGAGTGAGACAGGTGGTGGTGGTGGTGGGGAGTGGCATGAAAGAATGAATGGAAATCAAGGCGAGAAACATAAAAAAACAGGAGGATGTGCGAGAAGAACAGAGAGAAAAGACTGAGCCGAAGACGAACAGAGCAGCGGGTTGGAGGAAGAATGAAAGTGACATAACGAGCACGGAAAAGAGAGACAGAGAGTAAAAGAAAACACGACCATTGTGCTGATCAGACCTGTGTGGCAGCTGCCTGTTTCCATGGTAACAGGCATTTAGGGCTACACAGATGCGTCACTGTGGAGAGCCTGAGCTGGAGCTCATTCATTAGTGGGAATCGTCATTGCTGGAATGCAGACGCAAAAAAAAAAAAAAACCTCTTTCTGAAGCATGTATAAAAATATGAGCATCTGTGGAAATACAGAGAGTGGACAGACATGTGTAGCCTGTGTCAAAGAGCACTCATGTTGTGTGTCATTTTAAAGCTTCGTGACTTTGTGTGGGAGGCTAGTGTCTTCAGAGGACATCTGCATTACAATCCTGCAGCTTCTTTTTCTCCCAGGGCAGAGTGATGAACGCTCACTCAAACAAACATATACGATAAACAGGAAAGAGCATGGATTTAATTTTTGTCATTTTTTGTACTCACAGAAAACACGTCCAATGCTTTAGTTTTTACATTCCTCCTGTCTTTAAGTACAGTCACTGACCAATGGTAAAAACTAAGAAGGAACAGTCCAATTAGGAAAATTGTAGTCGCCCTGTAGTTTATTCAGTTCAATTCAATTCAATTTATTC